ATAGAATTCACAATTTAGAATAGAATAGAAAATATAGAATATAAAAAAGTAGAATAGAATTCACAATTCAGAATAGAACATATAGAATATAAAAAGGTAGAATAGAATTCACAATTCGGAATAGAATAGAAAATATAGAATATAACTTGAACTTGAATGGAAACATGGAATGAGCTGTCTACTGAAAATAGGCCTCCTTTTCTGCAAACCAAGATCCCTAGGAGTGGTATTTTTACTACTTTCAATGCTTTTTATCTTCATCTCTGCCAGCAGTTGCTATCAGAAATTCTTCTTTGCTTACATTTGAAGTTTCTGCAAGTTTTTTTTTTTAATTTGACTAAAATGATGTTGTTTTTGTTGTCTTAATATGGCAGATAATTTTCCAGAGTCTTTGAAACATCCCCTATCTTCAGCTTCTCAAAAGGAACGAAACAACCTCTATTGGGGGCATGTTTTATTACTTTTAAACTGATGCCCCCAATAGTTTATTACTTTTTCAATCCGGGATTTATGTTATATTAAGTTAGGCTTGGCTCAGGTGTCAGTGACTGGCGCACAACTATGGTAAACTATCAATCATTATCACTGATGTTGGTTGATTGACCTGTTTGCATAAATAGAGGCAACACTATATCATGGTTCACTGCTCTCTCCTGTACTATCTATGCCAAAGTAAAATAATAAAAATGCTACTTTCTGAAAATGGCTTATTGGATTTGAAATTGTAGGAATTAGGCTCATCCTAAATTACTTTAATAGGGACGTGGTGGTTCAATGGCTAAGATGCTGAGCTTGTCAATCAGAAAGGTCAGCAGTTCGGCAGTCCAAATCCCTAGCGCCGCGTAACGGAGTGAGCTCATGGTACTTGTCCCAGCTTCTGCCAACCTATCAGTTCGAAAGCTTGTAAAAATGCAAGTAGAAAAATAGGAACCATCTTTGGCAGGAAGGTAACAGCATTCCGTGCGTCTTTGGCGTTTAGTCATGCCGGCCACATGGCCACGGAGATGTCTTTCGACAGTGCTGGCTTTTCGGCTTTGAAATGGAGATGAGCACCACAGTGGTGAAATCTAAATTTTTTTGCCACCGGTTCTGTGGGTGTGGCTTGTTGGTGGTGATGTGACCAGGTGGGCGTGGCCAACATTTTTACACGTTTTAAAGCATTTTTTTCCTGCAAGTTCGGGCAAATAGGTAGTAAAAAATACTTTAAAAAGTGCACAGCTGAGTGTCATGGAACCATTTTTTCACTTTTTAAAGCTTTTTTTTTTTTTTTACTACTGGTTCGGGCGAACCTTAGCATTTTTTGCTACTGGTTCAAGCGAACTGGACAGAACCGGTAGCATTTCACCCCTGGAGCACCACCCCTTAGAGTCGGGAACAACTAGCACATATGTGCAAGGGGAACTTTAGCTTTAAGTTACTTTATGTTTTGCTTCAAGTTAGCTTGTTGCTGTTATTAAAAGCAATATACAATATAAAATTAGTGTAACATTTAAAAAAAAAAAACCTTGGCTGATTAATTTTTTCTCCCCACAAGAAATCTCTATCAAAGTTTCTCAAAGCATAAAGCTTAAGTTTAAACCTTAAAACCAGCAGGGGTTTTCTAATTAAAGATTTTAAAAGGTGTTGTTCTTCATTTCAGCCCTTGATCACAGTATGTAATTACTGTTTATTTTATGAAGGAAAAGGCTTTAAAAGCCTTGTCCCTGCTTTTTTTTTTCCTTCCTAAAAAGAAATCGTATGGCAACATGGCATGCGAGACTTCAAATTACCATTATAAAGTCCACCTTCTCTGCAACAGTGGAAGCCTTCGCAGAACAAAAATACTATGTATGGTTCACCGACAAATGCGCGCTCGACAAAGCGCGCTTGACAAAACCGCAGCAAGAAAACCGCGAGTTCTAATTAGCGCCGACGAATGAGCGCAGAAGCACGCCAACAAAAGCGCACCTTCAACAAACAAGTAATAAACGCAAGTTCTAAACCTAACCCTACACCTAACTCTAAACCTAACCCTAACCCTTACCTTAACTGTAATCCCTAAACCTAACCCTGAACCTAACCCTTACCTTAACTGTAATCCCTAAACCTAACCCTGAACCTAACCCTTACCTTAACTGTAATCCCTAAACCTAACCCTGAACGTAACCCTTACCTTAACTGAAATC